GTGGATGCCATTGATTAATTATGATAAAGTTAGCGGGTCAAAAAATGGGACGAAAAAAGTTTGGGTACTGAGATTTAATTCTCAAAATTAGATGGGAGAAATAAGCAAGCGCGCGCGCACATATATATATATAGAGCAATTATATTATATATATCTAATTATCTATAAACATCTCCCTCAAACTGTCATGTCAACTCTCTGTCCCCTTAAAGCTTGGTTTGGTATGAAAAATATTGAGTCTTGACTACTTTTTTTTTTCCACTTGAGTCTTGTTGACTTGAAAACGCAAATAAAGTCTTTTGCATTTTATTATTTCCTCCCTTCTAAATTAAATGTCATATTTAAAGTCAAAGTAATACTATATATATATATATATATATATATATTTATAATATTACTTATTTAACCTTCTTATTTTGAATTTAAAAATAACCTTCTTGTAATATATTAGATTTTTTTAAGTGTTATAACTAAATACATAGGAGGAGTTATTTATCTGGACAACTACAAAAGAAATAATAATAATAATAATAATAAATAAAAATAAAATCTCCAATCGTATCTGTATACCACAGAGAGCATGTATGTACCATTCATCATCGTACTACTTTTTTCTCTTTCTGCAGCAACAAACTACGTGTAGGACATAAAGGAATGCCATTATATATTTTTAATTATATTAGTTCTATTTTAAAAGTTATGGTATGTCTAACTGCGAATTTTATATTTTGTATGTTTCAATCGTTAGTATTATTTTTTAAAATTAAAAAATAGTGATTTGGGGAATATCCGTATCAAGACATGTTGTTAGGTCACTAATTGTGATTGAGACATTAGAGTAAACTATTACAGAATATTAGTTTGATGTTTGATTTTCCCAATAGTAGTGGCGTTTCTCGTTCTTCTGGTATTTGAGTGGTACGAAAATATTTTTAATTTTTACTTTGAAATTAGGTTTATAAAGACTTTAAATTTATTTTCGATGGAATTTGAATAAATATTTTACTAATATAAAATATATAAAAAAATTAATAATTTTTATATTTTTAAGGGACTATACAAATGAATATTATAAAGTCTCACTAGTTTAAATCACCCAAAGTCCAATAAAAAAACTCTACTTGTCAGATGTGGATAGTTTTATTTAATATCAAAGTTGTTGTATACAATTTAACATTTTTTCTTTTTGTAATTCTAATTTATTAGTCATTTATCCAAATTTGGGACGACCCAATCAACCCGTGAAAGTACTCTTATTCTTAACAAATTTATTACGGTAAATTTTATCAACCTACGTATATATATATTTTTTATTTTTTACTCTCTGATGCGATGACCGATCGTCAGGTGAAGCATTCTTACTGAACAGAGTGGGTCAAGTTCAAACTGTCATGAGATCTATGAAGATTCGATTGTGTAAATAGGTTATCTAAATCATCAAATTGGTCTTCTAGAAGATCCTATGTGATTTTATGACTGTTAAGTGTTATTATTATGATTTGGCTATTTCTCTCTTCTTCATTTATTTTTTCATTTATTTATTTATTTATTTTTAACATATCCGTTCAGAAAGCTATACGCTCTACCAAGTAAGCGAATAATATTCATCTTTTCTTGCAATCTTTGAATTAAGTATATATTTTTTTCCTAAAAAGTATAAAAGCGTAATATTTAATGCTATCAAGCATAATATACTGCAACAATTTTGTTAATAGAGTATAAGAATGGCGTGTTTTTTAAATGAACGATTATATTCACTTATGTTGTAACCAATAACAGATGAAATAATACTAATAACAACAACAAAAATCGTAATATAGTAATAAATGTCATGATTCAATAATTTCTAATAAAAAAATTGTGTCACGGTTTATGTTTTAAGAATAATAACTTATTTCAACCCACTCCACAATCGGTTATTGTTGAGAATTCAATGTCTTTCGTCGTACACAATGAAAGCATCATCAATTACATGCATATATAGAAATAATAATCATACACATCCACGGACAATGTGATATTATACATGATTCATTTAACCATAGAGTTATGTTCATGAAAAGAGAGATTCCATTGTTATGTATGACAAATAAAATATATAACCGCAAATGTCAAAACTCCATACACTCTTCCACTCTTATGTTTTTATCCGGGCATCCACATGAATTACATATATTATCCCCTCTCTTCACAAAACATAATTAGCCCCTTACATCTTTCCCCTCTCTTCATCCCTCTGCCTAAACTCATATTTACTTATAGGCTCTATTTGGATGCATAGGAGAGAAAAGAAAGGAAATGATATCATTAGTTATAAGAGAAAATAAAAGAAAATTATAGCAATAATCACTATTTATGTTTGGATATATATGAGAGAAAAGAAAAGAAATGATAGTGTTATTGTTTGGGTAAGATAAATGAAAAAAAAAAGAAAAAAAATGATAATAATAAAATTACTATCATACCCTTTTAATTAAATCGGATATGAGTGGAATAACAATTTTCTCCCAATTGTTAAGGGCAGCTTAACCCATTATCATTTCCCTCTCTGTCTTCTCATTTTTTGAGGAATAGTATTTGAGGGATAACTATTCCCCTAAATCCCTCCCCATCTTTTCTTTTCTCTCTGCTGAAGCCATCCAAACACTCTTCTCCTTTCTTTCTCTTCTTTCCCTTTCCCTCCAAATCATTCCATCCTCTTCAAATATCAATTCCTTAATTGGACAAGAATTCCACTAACTTGCCTAAAAAAAATTATCATATCAATTATAATTCTATAATAGAAGCATCCGAACGAGAAACAATTTTCTTCACAAGTATATGCCTTTTTAGAGTCTTAAACGGGAAAAAATTAATACCTACACACGAATTTCGAGCAACAAACTCAACACCATGCAAATATGAGCTCAAGCATGTGTAGCTCAACATAGAATTGACGATACTATTGTATACAACTTTCTCACAATACAATTCAATCTAGGTTCTATTTGGTTGCCAAGAAAAATGAAAGGAAAATAGAAACAATTAGAACCCGTTGACACTTCTGTTAAGAATTTAAACGTTGAAGTTACACCTCTCCAACAACAAGAATTAAGAGTAGAAGGTGATCATTGATTTTTTTATTTACAAAATTACTTATAATTTTTGTTAAAATTTAAAAACACCCCACTCAAATTTTTAACAATACCCTATTATATATAATTGTTGTTCAAGTCAGCTCCCTCTCTTGCAATTTTCTGAGTCCGCCACTCGGCAACATAGTATCAAAACTAACAAGATATATCATCATGAGTTCAAATCTCACTATCATTTTAATAATTAAAATTAAAATAAGTGTTAGACTAAACCAAGGATACAAGTGAAATCCTGTTACAAAGCATATGAAAAGTAAAAGAGCTGGATGGCCATCAGAGAGCACAATAAATTGCCCCGTATGAGTGAAGAAGTCTAGACCCTGCATCATTGATGACCTCACAACTTTGAGAAATAAATCTCTCTGTATGTTATCGTGGGGAAGACTTCAGCAAGTTTCAAAACATATAAACCGATGTTATCTAGTTCCAATATTTTCTTAATAGTCAATTATCTATTAAAATATATGAAATTAATATCTATTAGTTATTTAATATAAATATATAAAAAGGGTACTATGAGAATTGACCAAGTTATATATATAGTTAAGTGTTTCACACAATTTTTTATCACTTATATATATATAAATCTATATTTTAATAAATTAAATAATATATTATTTTAAGCTTTACATATATTTAATAGTAGTATACAAATATATAAAAATTAGGTATCTAAAACTCAAAAGATTTATCATAAATGATTGTATTATAGTGTTACTGTTTTACTTTTTAAAGTAAGAAGTCGATAATTTAAGATTAATATGAACAAGTAAATGTTCACGATGGTCAAAAGCATTTGGTACGAGAATATTAAATACTTTCTGGCAAAAATAAGATGAACCCCTGAACTTAAAATTTGTTAGAATCTCTACCATGTTAACCATACAGGAAAGTCAGATACAGGCAAAATTTTTTAACTTCCCCTCACACCACGTGGAAAGGTTGAAAGGATTTATTTGAGAACCATTCTAATTAAATGCTTATATATATTGTTTATTTTAAGTAAGAGTTACCGAATATATCTATTTTCATTGTATTCTCACACATTAAAAAAATATAACACACATTTTCATTACTCGTGGATTCTTTTTCTTATCAATCATTCCACATTTTGAACCTACTTGATGTTTGTAGAACTCCTTTTTCATATAACCTTTCACATAAATACTTCTATACTCGCACAAAGTCCACATAACCTTATACAAAATTGTAGCTAGTATTATGTGTGTGTATATATATATATGTATATTTATGCGTGTGTGTGTTTTATACCACATTCTCATCATGCAAATCTTAGGTAGGTTTCGTCAAATAAAAGCTTTGTGGGCTATCAGATCTTGACATACTTTTGTGGAAATTGGGAAAAGAAGCTTTTTTTTTTTAATACGTTGATATATCCAAACAACTATGTTAAAAAAGTTTCATAAAATTTATTATTATTTTTATAATATTTCAGAACGTTCTTATACTTCTAAGTACAGCCAAGATCCCTAAAAAAAAAAAAAAATAGCTACTCTTCCCCAAATTTTTTAATAATAAGTTGAAGAAAATTATCTTTCCAAATTAAGAAAGTACTACATTTTCAAATAAATATACCCAACATTTTCGTCCGACACATATATACAGAAATATTCATTTGTTCATGGTGATAATTAGATATAATTTAAGTGTTAAAAAAGTTATTACCAAAAAATATAACAATTATATTTAATTGGCACCATACTTTGGTATGAACAAATAATAATTTTTGTATAAATTATTAAATATGTATATATTGGTTTAACGAAAATATCATACATAACGGGAAAAAGCAGCCAAAACGACCTTGGAGTGTTTGGCGTCGCCGTCTATGTATAAAAAATATTTATATTAATACAATTTCGTCGGTCGTTCTCTCCCTAAATTTTCCCCTCATCCGTGCGTTTCTCTCTCTTCATCTCTACATTTCTCTCTCTGTATCTTCCATTTCTCACGCTCTCTCTATATATAACAACAATAAACATATATACATATATAAACAAATATATTTTTTCTCTAAATAGAGTCGGTCCAAGGTCCACCTATGGCTTCTTCTGAAGAGCGTAGAGACGAGCCAGTGAAAGAAATGGTGCACAGGACGAAGGTAATACAGTTCCTAGGACGCGCAACGCCTATCATCCTTCAGAACGATAATGGCCCTTGCCCTCTCCTCGCTATCTGTAAATCTCTCTCTCCTAGGGTTTCTTATTTTAGTGCCGTCAGTACGTACTGTTTCGCAATCGTGTCAACGGTGCTTGATTAAATTCACAGGATTGTAATAAGGAAATGATTTTGAGATGTGAATTGTTGTTTGTAATTCTATTCTCAATTTGAAAGTAAGTTTGTGTCATATTGATGAATAATTTTATATTCAAGGTTTATGTCTTCTTTCTGATTGATATGATATACAGCTATGCTTTGATGATATACTTAATATCTAGGTTTATTCTCAAAAGTATGTTGCTGTTAGTTAATAGATGATGACTGGAATGTATTCTAATTTTTCCTTGAGTGGAATGCTTTCTTATAATTTTCAGCAAATTATTAAGACAGTATGCAAATTGTTTGATTTTTTGAGTTTCTGTAATATGAATTGATTCTAAATATGTGATAAATTATGGCGGTTTTCTTTCTTGTGATTATAAGTTGGGAAATTATATTTCGAATTGAGTTTTGATGATCAACATGCTGGGTGTGTGACAGGTAATGTTCTTCTGTTAAAGAACAACTTGAACTTGAGTGCAGACATTGCCGAAGTCTCTCAGGAGAAATTGCTCTCTCTTGTTGCGGAACGGTTAATTGATTCAAATAGTAACGTCCATGTAATTGCTCTCCTGTTTTGTATCTTTAAAAGCATTGTTTGGTTCTGAAAAGAATGAGAGAATAGAAAATGCCTAAAATTGGATTAAGGTTGTTTATAACAAGTTTCTTCTCTCTCATAACTGCCAAGAACCAAACAGAGACATTTTTTTTCCCCCTTCAGCTTTCTGTTAAATTTGACCCTATTTAATTGGGGTACAGAACAAAGATGCAGGGTATGTTGAGAATCAACAACAGAACATAGCTGATGCAATTGATTTGCTCCCTCGGCTTGCAACTGGGATTGATGTAAATATAAAATTTAGGAGGTAAATTTGTTAACTTACCATGGAGTAGGAATTCATTTTCTCTCTTTGTTGTTTTTATTCATTTATTTGTGTGGTTTGTGGGATATATATATATATATATATATTTTTTTTTTTTTTGGTGGGGGGGTGGGGAGGGGCTATCTGTTATTGTGTACTTCATATTCACGAGCTTCTGATGGTGAGTTAGAAGCACTAGCCTCTTCTGTCTCTCTTAGTTTTAACCAAAATGCTTTACTCCTGCAGAATTGATGATTTTGAGTTTACTCCAGAGTGTGCAATATTTGATCTTCTAGACATTCCACTGTATCATGGTTGGATAGTTGATCACCAGGTACAAATTTTTTGGGCTTCAAATCTCATTGTATAAAACAACTTATTTTCAACAGTAGTTCAGTTTACTTGTCCTATTTTCATCTTTCCTTTTTTTCAATTTTCAGATTGAAGTTGATTACTATTGTTTAAAGGGTTGATATGCAATCCATTCAAGTACATTAGTAGAATTGTTGTATTTTGTCCTTATACCCTCGGAAATCAATAGATTGAACTTGCAAATACAAAGTTCACTGTATTTTCTCTTTTTGAGAATTTTAAAGCTACTAGTTTTAGCCCAACCTGGGAAAACTCTGGAGTTTTGTCTAGCTACCTCGGTGCTCTAGTTTTCTCATTTGGAGTAAAGTCGTAGATCCTTTCAATTTTGTAGTTTAATTTTCTCTTTTATAAGCAATAACTGAAGAATTGATTCTGTAACTGTAAATATAGGTTTTTGACAACATTCTGTCCATGGTTCATCTGGAATTGCCTTATCTTTCACCTTGAAAAGTGTATACCTGGAGGAAACTTAGGGGGTTTCTTATTTACCTTTCTTTATATTGCATAGTTAGAATCGTTTTGATACCCTAAAAATCAACAAGAGGGAGACGGTGGACGGTGGACAATACAAACTGAAAAGTGTGGTGTTAGAGAAGAGGTTTTGGTACCCTAAAAATCAACTAGTGGGAGACGGTGGACAATACAAACTGAAAAGTGGGTGAGGGGGTGATGGAATAAAACTGCAAATGGAAAACTTGTAGCTGCAAACATTGATTCTTGGAAAACCTATTTGGAACCCATAAAATTTGAGAAACAATTTTGCGATAATCTCTTTTTTCTTCTTCATCTATTTGTAAATAAAAATTTAAGATTTATCGATCACTTTTTCCATTTTGCCATTTTGCCATTTTGCATGGCTAATATGCATGAGGTCTGTATCGAGATCAGTGCACATTTGCTGCACCTAATCTATCTGTCGGGCTTTAAAATTTATTGAGTTATTTTCTGTTTTTCAGCGTTATAGTGCTGTTGTTCCTAATAGTTGAGAAAAGGTTGCACTTATAAATATATCTATATATATTTATATTTGAGAACAGGTTGTAATCACAGTGATGTACAATCTTTGGGCACTTCTTAGATGATTGGCTGTTAGACCTCTCTCATTGTGGTGTTTGCACTGAATCCTACTGGACTTGGGAGACCTTGAGTATATAAGACATGATAGTTTCACTTTGTTGCTGGATATGGAGATGGGGTGTTGAGTGATCTGATGTGCTGTTGGATAGAGCTGCTTTGGGATTATTTTTCTTTTTATCGTGAAGGATACTGACTATTAGAGCCACCAGTTCCTTCAGATTTGCAATATGTGATTGAAGTCCCTTCACTTTGTGGGTATTGGGTAAGCAAGTTAGAAATTATTTTGAGATTTTGGACTCTGCTTGTTATTGCCTCTTTCTCAAGTGAGATCTAAAGCAATAAATAGTTAAATATGTTGATTGATGTCGCATTTTTGGAGAAGAGCTGTTGATGTGAAAGAGATGGTGCTACTTCATTGAATGAGTGGATGACAAAATAAATTCTTCCAATGGGTGGCTCAATCTAGAGGGGTGATCAATTTTGCATATCTCACCTGAATGGTGGGGGATGAGTTGGTGGTTTAAGGGGATATGGTAATTGAAGGGGAATGAGAATGTGGTTGAAAGGGATCTAGTAATGAAAATGTTGGGGTTATATGTAGTAAACTTGTATACCCCTCACTATATAACGTACACCTACTAAACGAGGATGGTAAAGTCCTTTGAAATGCATCCTACAATTTGTCTTCTTTCTCTCCTCTTCCATTCAGTTTTGTACAGAAGCAAATTAGTGCTTTCGAAGGGGGGGCATTATAGATATGATTAAAACAAAAAAAGAAAGAAAAATTTTTAAGTAAGCAATGCATATCACAATAACTAATTAACTACAAAAACATAAAAAAAAAAGTGAACTACAAAATTAATTCTATCATTTAAGAAGATAAGAGAGAGAGAGTGGGCTGAAGTATAGTTTCTAAACTCTCTTTACAAAAATTGTCGTAATCTAAATCCATAGCTAAACAAAATATGACAGTTGTATAAAGAATGGAAGAAAAGAAGAGAGAGAGAAAATGGGCCGAAGTATAGTTTCTAAACTCCTTTTTCAAAAATTGTCGTAATCTAAATCCATAGCTAAACAAAATATGATGGTTGTATAAAGAATGAAAGAAAAGAAAAGAGAGAGAGAATGGGTTCTAGTAGAATCTCTAAACCAGGGGCGGAGCCAGGAATTTTTTTTTTTTTGGGAGGGGGGTTAGATATGATTAAAAAAAAAATTTCTAAGTAAGCAATGCATATCACAATAACTAATTAACTTCAAAAGCATAGAAAAAAAAAGTGAACTACAAAATCAATTATATCACCTAGAAAGATTAGAGAGGGAGAGAGAGTATGGGCTGAAGTATAGTTTCTAAACTCCCTTTACAAAAATTGTCATAATCTAAATCCATAGCTAAACAAAATATGACGGTTGTATAAAGAATGAAAGAAAAGGAGAGAGAGAGAGAGAGAATGGGTTCTAGTAGAATATCTAAAGCAGGGGCGGAGCCAGGAATTTGATTAAGGGGGGGCATAATAGATATGATAAAAAAAAAAAAAAAATTCTAAGTAAGCAATGCAATATACATGAGTACAAGAACAAAAAATTTAAGAGAAAAGAGAGAAAAACAAATAAGAAGAAAAAAAAGTATATGAAAGAACTATGAAGGGAAAAAAATTAGGGTTTGATTGAAAAGGGGGAATGCAAATTTATTTGAAGAAAATAAAATTGAAGAAGAAGAGGGTAAGAAAGAAAAAAAAAAAAAAAAGAACTAGTGGGGATTTAGAATAAAAGATAATTTTAGCGGGGCATAAAGCTAAAATTATATACATATATTTTTATATATATAAAAAAATAGTAGTGGAGCTGCCCCCCCCCCCCCCCCCCCCCACATGTTGGCTCCGCCCCTGCTCTAAACCCTCTCTAAAACTAGGGCTTTGTTGAAAATAAGGAAAGACAATTCTACTTATCGTTGATAATAAAAGAGATTGTTTGTCCGTGGTTCTATATACATAATAAGGCGTTACTTGTAACATGGTAGAGATCCAGAGTGGACTGAGTGAGGTGGAAGTCCAGGCAAACTTTTATATATATATATATATATATATATGGCAAACTTATATATATACCTTTTCCTTAGGCCTCAGGTCAAACAAGAAGTCAGTCTTTTAGTTTAGTCAAAATGTTTATTCGCACAGAGCTTCATCAGTAAGGTCCATCAACTCAAGGGCATTTATGAAGCCTTAGCCTGATTATTGCTGCTCTTCAACAACTGATGAAACACTATTTACATCATCATTGCCATCAACACCAACTGATCTGTCTAGCACCGATGTGGCGAAAAAGACTGCTTCAATCATTGAATATATAAATATATATATATATATATATATATATATAGAGAGAGAGAGAGAGAGAGAGAGAGAGAGAGAGAGGATGGCAGTGTGCCAGTTCACATTGACTCCCTAGTTGAGGATTTATGGGGTGAGGTGAGAGGGAGTAGTGAGAGAGCTTAGAGTGTGGGTGGTTGTTTCACCCGTCCTCTTCTTCTCTTAACCTTGGGCCATGTCCTTTTATAGGCCAAGTGAGTGAGGGTAGATGATGTCATGTTGAGGTAATGAACATTATTATAATTAAAAAGGAAAGAATATAAAGTAGTGGGAGACAATAATAGGGTGTATAATTGTAAATGTACCAAGGGTAATTATTTAACGAGATCAATTATATTAATACGGATAAGGTGAGGATAGGGTGAATGGGAGTGAAACCAATTGCCTCCTCGGATCCCAAATATTTCTGAGTGCTGCTCCCAACTCGGGTCTTCAAGTGTTTAGTCTTCCATTTGAGATTTGTTGATGAATCGGCAAGTGTCACATAACTTGTTGACTTCTTGATTTTTTACTATGTGGGTCTTTATTAAGTGATGTGGCAAGTGTCACGTGGTATAACACATGTCCACTACCTACTCCTGTATTTACGCTAGGATGACATATCAACAAATATAAATATATATGTCTGTATGTGTTCGGATCATCATTTGGAGGTCATGGACTAGGTACCTACAGAGATAACCAAGACGTTTGTGTTAGGAAGAAGAGGACAAAAAGAAAAGAAAAATTGGAGGAGAATATGAAAGTTTGCTGGTAGTCGAGCTTTGATAATCCATTGTAGTAAGTTCGAAGCGTGGTTGCGAAAGAGAGCAAAATTGTTACCGTTCTCTTTGTGATCTTTTACGATGTCAAACAAGTAACTATAAAAAGATCAAGTAAATAAAATTCCTTTATAATTAACTTTTTATTTTTTATTTTTATGTTTTAGCCTTTAAATTATTGAAACTTTTCGAACAAAAATACTTGCATTATATTTTAACCCATCATTTAAAAAAAAAAAAAATAAAAAAAAATCCTCTTTTAATAAGACAAGAATGTCAGTGGTGTGTCGGCATTGTCTGTCGTGTGTCTGCCGACATGTCCATGGTGTGTCTGAAAGGCAAATATTCAGAAATGTTTTTTTGGCATGTCTGACACGTGTTGGGCTATGTTAGACACTTCGATCTATTAGGCTTGTTTGTGCTTCCTAGTTCCTAAACTATCAACTTTTTGTAGATACCCCTTGGCATTGTAAAAAACTCCCTAAACTAAAAAAAAGTGTAATGAAGGCCAAGTGTATATTGCTTTTAGTAGTGATGAGAAATTACTAAAATCCCCTTCTTTTATTCTGGTTTTATTTAAACTTTGTATCAAAATACTATCTTTGTATCAAGTTAGAATTAGAGCGAAAAATCCATAGCAACAATCATCACTCTTACTAAACCCTACTGTTCATTCATAAACAAAATCTACCCTATCCCTACAGTCGAACCCTTCCCTTGTCTGCCTTCACCACAATGTACACTACCATCCACTATACCCAATCCAATTGAAACCCAAACACGCCCTAATCACCTTTTGTAATAAACCAACCCACATCCTTCATCATCGTCACTAGTGAAGCCCAAACCCTAAATCTACTGCTACCATAAAAACAAACCCACCACCCAAACCACCAAACAAACCCTTACCCTCCATTAGGGTTGTAAACGAGCCGAGCCGAGCCATGGTGTGCTCAAGCTCGGCTCGGTCAGGTAATATGCTACTCAAGCTCAGCTAGAGCTCAAGTCGAGCCTAGAAAATTTAGTTCGAGCTCGGGTCGAGCTATTTTTGACGAGCTTTGAGCTCTCGGCTCGTTTAGTTTAAGATCAGAAGCAGTAGGGGGGTAAGTCCAGGAAAGAGTTCTCAAAAGGAACTTTTGAAATTACATTAGCGTAGAGGCACAATCTTAAGAGATGAATCTTCTAAGCCCATGGCAGACATGCTGATTGACTACACATATGATGGGGAATGAAAACGAAATGGAGATGAGGAGCACTTCGGAACTAAAGGAAAATGTAAGAGTTGCCAGGGTATAATGCTGCAGTCCAACCAAACCCTTCGTCTGGGCGGCGACCCACACCTGTAGGTATAGCAAAGCAACACTCATATGCTTTATCCCCCAAACCTAATCTACGATTGCCGGAAGATCTACCCCCGATCCTTCACTTCGTTTTTCGGGGGACTTTCCTTTTCAGAAAAAAAAGGAAAAAAGTTTACATGAGAGAGAGAGAATAGATGGAGACGCAACTCCTTATTATTCCATCAACCCTAATTCCTAAACATAAAAAAGTTTATATACAAAGACAAGAAAGACTTATTTGTATAATAAACACAAACTCTATATACAATTACAATCTGACCCCAACATAAATATATATCTACATATAAATGTGCTACATACAATTACAATCTTACAATCTGGCCCCAACTTTTGTATATATTATAATTGAGTATGTGTGTATATATATATATATATTATAATCGAGTATGTTCGTGAATGTATTATCGAGCCCAGTTCGTGAACGGTTCATGAACAAACGAGTTGAGTCTACTAATGTTCAGACTCGACTCGTTTATAAATCGAGCCTCATAATTCGGCTCGAGCTCGGTTCACTTATTAACGAGACGAGTAATTAACGAGCTAAGCCCAAGCCGTTCGCGAACGGCTTAGCTTGTTTGCAGCCCTACCCCCCATCGTTGTAAACCCCACTGTCGTGTAGCCCAAACTAAGCCCCAAGACTTAATCGCAAACCCGAACACAATTGACAACCACAACCCATCTCACCCTTTTCCTTCGGACCTAAGTCAATAGCCCCAAATGGTGACGACAGCCACATCACCGGATTTTGCAACAACCATTGCTTGCCATTGCCGAACAAACGACAATGAGCAAAACATCTCATTGGTTGTCACAAATCAGGTGAAACCACTGGATCAGTCACCGATTATTAACTCCAACCGCCGTAAGTTTCATTTCACCACCATCACCGGAACATTGTCGCCTTTGTTGTCATCGCGACGCTGTCATCTTCACCTTTTCTGTATCATTCTCATTGTCGGAACCACCGGATCAGTCACCGATCATTAACTGCAACCGCCGTAAGTTTCATTTCACCACCATCACCGGAACATTGTCGTCTTTGTTGTCATTGCGACGCTGTCATCTTCACCTTTTCTATATCATTCTCATTGTCGGAACTCCCTGTCTCGCCGTCAGTTGTTGCAACAAACCTAGCCAAGAACCCTGGACATTCTCTCTTTGTAATGATAGATTTGGGATAGGCAATCAGTTGGGTTTCTTTTATAACCCAAAACTAATCCGACCCTTAACTCGGTTTGACTCGAATTGCTAAAAAAAAAAATAAAATAAAAATAAAAAGCCTAGATTTGGATCCAAGCCGGAATTTTTTTGCTTGTCCTTGTTCGATTTTGCTCTAGTCCAAGGCCAAGTTCAGTCTATGTTGCTATTTTAACCTTGAACCCAACCATTTTATTCACTTCAGTCCTGTTTGGATACAAGAGCAGTGCCAGCCCAGATCCAGAACTGACTCAGTTCTGTATAAAACCAGTAACCATGAGAGGAACAGAAAAAATAAAAAAAACCGATTGTGGAGTTACTTGGGAGCATTCATTATTTGGGTAGCTTCATTGGACTCAGTAAAGATACGCATACTTCACTTAAGAATTGAAATAAATAATTTTATTTGTTTGGAATCCATAAATTTGCAAAATGTGCTGGCTTCAGCTGGAAATCATTATTTGTTTGCTCATTGACCTTCACCACTCCACGGCCTCTTTGTTACTTGTCTCCACTACCACACTTAATTCTGGTCATCATTTCTCACCTTTTCAGCATTTTAGTTTCTTGTGTGAGCATTGCAACAATTGATAATTTGGTTTACTTGAACAATTTGAGTCATATATCGGTATTCTCTACCTATCCATTGTCATATTTAATTTGAGTACTTCGGTGCCATGAATTAGATTTAGACCATTTCTTGACCACACGAAAGGTTGGATAGCTGATGACCCGAAAGAATGTCAAGACTTGCATTCCATCAAGTCCTTTTAAGAAAGGAGGATGATTGGAGACGCATTGATTTTATTCATTTGCCTCCACATCCTTGTTGATTTAATTTTTTTGATTCCTTTGTTTAGCTTGTCCGTGAGTTTCATGTCCATACGAGACGACAAATTGTTTTGAGTAATAAAAATCTGCGTTACCTGGACTCGTCGGAGAAGGCCAGAGTGTCCGTGTCGACACGACACGACACGACACGACACGGACACGGACACGGGATATGTGTCCGACCCTCCATTTTTCAATCGGGCATGGTTGATGACGAAAATACATAAAATGATGTGTAGTTTGATGCTTGTGAAGGATTAGGAATTTTTTTCGTGTTTTTTTGTTAAATCTGCAGCCATACGAAGCTTTCTGTTTCAACAATGGTCGTTTTGGTTCAGATCGGTGGTTTGACGGTTGAAGACGACTAGCTGTTTGTGAACCCACACGTGCTGGCTTTTGCGCAATATTTTGTGCCATCTTGTTCGTGGTTTCCCGCAATTGTTAATAACTTAATATCTAGCCTTTTAACGGTTAGGATCATAGCACCTGTTTATTTGGATCTGGAAAGATAAGAGACATTGGGACACAGCTGTAAAGCATTACCTACTGTGGAGTGTTTACAGCTGTAACTTTGCTTTTATAGTGCTGTTATAAATACCGTGTCTATTGAATCGGCTTCCTTTTTAATTGGGCTTTTGACTTGTACAGGCCCAAAACCCAAGCATCAATCCATGACTAAGATGCACATACAGAGACATATTAGCCCATATTGAATTAGTCATCCTTTTTAATTGTGCTTTGACTTGTACAGGCCCAAATGCCAGATGCACATACAGAGGCATATTAGCCCAAGCCCAAACTCGCCCTTGGGTATATACAAAAGGAGCCCTATAGCTTAGAATTTCTTATTTACAGGTTCCATAAAATAGTAGTAAAAGGGGAATGCGTAGCCATGACATGCCATCTATCAAATGAGGCAAATAAATGCAGTAATAATTATAAAATTTTTATAAAAAAGTACAATTGATATATATTTTTTTCGTTTTATGATTAATGTCTCAAACATAACTTACAAAATTTTCTCTTTTCGAAGTGTCCAAGTACCCGTGTCCAATATTTGGACACTTCTAATCCGAGTCCACGTGTCCTGAAAATTGATAGATTGACGAATCCGACTCTTAGACATGCACCCGTGTCCGACACTTGTACCTGAGTTTGGGTAACATAGATAAAAATTATGAACTTACTACATATGCTCTTCATAAAAATCATGAATTTATTGAAGGAGATATTGTTATAATTCGTGCACCTCCACCGCAACCTTATTCTTAGAATTCGTCCGAACTTCGGGCAATGCAAGCCCAAGTTTTTGGGATTTTCCACATCATTCCTATGTCATGACCTTACCCATATTTATTTGACTTGCAATCAAATAATAGTGTTAGTCCAAATTTTCATGTGGAGTATTTGATGCCTAACCAAGGTACCTCTGAGCCTCCTGTGTTATTAGCTTGTGTTCATACAGCTGAAGATACATTTTCTTCAGCAGCAACACTTGAGAGTATAAATGAGTGTTGCTGTGTTCATCCGAGCTTTTCGGGGCAGTATTAACAGCTTTACTCTCCGGAGGAGAATTCTTCTCAGTTGGGGAGAATTGATGGAGAACGAGTGATGGTTCGCATGCATGAGCCACTCATGATTAACTATTACTCTTGTAGAAGGGGCAAAAATATAGGATTTTAAAGTTTGCAGGTTGCTGAACATTTAGAAGTGGATTCATAAGGGCAGATTTGGTATTTTTATTCAGGTCAAAATGGTTAATGGGTCGGACAATCTTACATAGTGACCAAGGGTATTATAGTCATAATATTAAAAATATATGCCATTTTCATTGCACATGACCATAAAATAATATTAGTTTAATGGCGGGGGCATATGCTTGCAATATTTTTAGGGTTTTTTTTTGCCCTTTAATCTATAAACTATTCATTTTATAATTGTTGAAACCTTAAGGTGCAAGATTTCTCAACTTAAGCCCACCATAAACACAATTGTAGGCAGCATTGTCTTTAGTTTTCTATTGCTAACACATGTTACCAACATCTTGGATCTAGACTCTAGAGTTCTACATCTACAGCATTGTGTGAAAATTTTTCATTTTGGTTCTTCAGTGGGCAATTATCTTCCTTTAGATGTGGCCAAAGGTGTATTTTCTGATTAGCATTTACGTTTATACACAAACGTTACATTGTTATAACCATTTCTCTTTTGCATGTGTACCAGGATCATGATACTGTGTGCGCGATAGGATCGAAGTCCTACAATACTCTCACGGGGGAGCTTGTTGCCCTTGAAACACAAAATATGGAGGGTCAACATAAAAAAGGTTCTGAAGAAGATTGCATTGATTTTGCTGCTGCAACAACTGCAACCTTAGGTGTTCCTTCTCCATGCCTTTCTCCATGCCTTTCTAGAGGTAGATCTTTTGATGATTCCCCCCGTTCTGTGTCTGATCACCTTAAATTCAGAAAAGGAGACCTTGAAGAAGAAGCTGAGCTGTTGAGAGCCTTGAAAATTTCAGAGGCTGATTTACCAACTTTATCAGTTGATTCTCTTACAGACAATGCTAGTGGACAAAATTTGTCTGGCAGTTTGAAGGAAAGCGCATATCTCAAAAAGCCTGAACCTCTAGTTCTCACCGAGACATTAGAAGGACATATGGATGTTGGAAGTCAAAAGTCTCATCAACAGGAATCACCTATGTCTGCAGATTGCAATTCCTTGAGCAATGACAATAGTGATGTGATAACTATTGAAACTGTTGCAAATGAAGCTATTACTTCATTGCCGAAGACTGATCAGGGAATCCACACTGATGAATCAAATTCAGAAAAATCTGGAGGACATGCTGTGTGTAAAGATCTAGTTGATAAAGCTAGTGTTGATGTGTTGGACCAGGAGGAAAATGCACCATCTGATTCTTCTGCATCTTCTTGCGAAAGACATATATATAATTCTGGTGCAGGTGAAAAAGTTCAGAACCTATCCACTTCCAAAGCCGTGATACATGGGGAAGAAGATGACCGAAGTGGTTGTGACACGACAGAATGTTCTAATTTATCTGCACTAAATGCAGATTCAGATTCATCTAGTAGCAGAAAACAACAGATAGATGCTCCCAAAGGTTATACTTCAAGCGTTGATGACAACGAACCCATTTATGAAGGAGAGGAATGCATACTTGATTCAGGAACAAAAATTTATGAAAATCGAGAGCCTATGTATGAAGGTGAGGTGGCTCTTGCAGAACAAGTGGACAAAAGCTCTAGAGATGGATATGATTCAAGTTCCATGGATGAAATCACTCCAAAACATGGTGAGAAGTGCTCTATAACTAAGAAGTTGACTTAATTTTTTCTTATTTTCTTTATACTCTTGTATGTTTGTTTATGTATTCTTGAGCTTATGTAAAGTACACTTAATTTATTAACTTCTTAATTTCTCTAGGAGAATTGATAAGGAATTTTCTGAAGAACAGTGCTAACCAGTTGACTATATACGGGTACAATTCTTGTTTGGCTTTAGAAGTTCTGAGTCATTTTTAGAATCAATAATTTCTGGTTTGCTGTGTGAGGAGGTTGTTTATTTTATTACTGTTTGCATTTCCGGCAGATTATTTTGCTTACGAGATGGTCTGAAAGAGCGCGAGCTTTGTGTATTTTTCCGTAATAATCACTTTAGCACTATGTTCAAGGTCAGTTACTAGCAACGAGTCTCTGTTGCTACTGTTTAATTAAAAATGTTGCTACCAATGGACTGCTGAAATATGTCTTTTTTTTGTTTTCATCAACATCAATTTTTAAGAATTTAATCTAATGTTATTTTGATTTGCAGTTTGATGGTGAACTATACCTTTTAGCTACAGACCAAGGTTACATAAATCAGCCTGACTTGGTATGGGAAAAACTAAATGAGGTAAAACATTTTTCAGTGATCTTATTTATTAGGGACATATTGTTAAGAGTTGTATTAAATATTCATTTGACTGCTGCATTTCGGCATGGTTGAAATCTAAATAAAGTAATTTTTTTTCCTTTCAAAATCTGGAAATCCCAATCTATTGGTCTATTAACAGAAAATCCCACTGCAGCCCAAGAACTTATTGGTTTTCAAACTCTCCCCTCCATTGCCACTATTTAACTCGTGTAACTAGAAAGGGATAATCGAGGAAATCTACACTTTTGGGTGTCAACAAATAGTTGTCCAGTTCAAAAAGTCGATGTTTTGAAGGTGACCCAAAGTTGGAAAGAAATCTAGAATGTTTAGCTTTAATTGTGTTGTACTTTTATACTTGCCATTACTGCCGATTGTCCTATATTTGACTTAAGATCCATATAATAAGAAGATAACAGTATTTGTTGGGATTATCATTCTGCGGGATCAGTAAATAATTTTTATTCATGATGTTTTTCAGGTTAATGGAGATACAGTTTTTATGACTGGTAATTTTAAGGAATTCAAGGTAGAAAATCTGGACAACACCACGTGGAACGAACAAAATGTCCTTGCCAGTACTGCTGTACGTAGCTTTTCCTTTACACTAAATGTTCAGAAATTTATCTCCAGTGGTTATTGTGAAGCTAATTCCAAATAATGTTCCCCAGGACTATCTTGCCAGTATTGATAATTCAGCACAAGTGGATTCAAGTTTCAAGTAATTTTTCTAACTGGTTCTTACGTATGCATTATTATTATTATTATTATTTTAAGTATTTTGTTTGTACATTGTACATAGATAACTCAGTAAGTGGTTATGTCCTTTTTTTTTTTTCGTTGTTAAATCCCATTATGGTGGAGTTTATGGAAATTTTTAATGTTTTATTTACTTTTTGATTATTTTTCTTGTTATTCTATCCTCCCTTTACACTGCTTGTATACCTTTCCACAAAGAAACCTGTAGTATCTTTTTGTTGGATTAATTTTGAGATTTTTACACGAGTTCAGCTGTTTGACTTTTATATTTCATATATCCTGTTGTCGTCTTGGCATTAATTTCATCTCTAGTTAATATTGAAGTGAGATATTAAAATGTTATGTTAATGGGGAAATATGGGGAATTTTGTGGAGGAAATATCGTTCAAGCTTCAAAATTTCGAATTCAATGTGTCATTTTAAAACATTTGCAAATTTTTGTTCTGAAATTCATTTCTTGTATTATGGGGCACTTCCTATTCAAAATTATCAATAATTCACATTTACTTATGTAGTTCATTGAAGGGCTAAATCATTCTAGAAATGGATTTTATCAAGTTTAGAGTCTGCATTTTGTTTCGATCAATTTCTTATTATGTTTTATATTTGTTTTGACAGTTCTGATCTGCAATTGGCGATAGCTCTTCAGCAACAGGAGTTTGAGCAACAACCACAGCGTAGTCTGCAGCAACCCACTGTTAGTGGTGGCGGTTCAAGGCTGATCACAGGACCCCAGGTAAGCTTTAAATTTGTACTTATATTTTTTTTGCCTCAAATATTTCATGTTTTCTTGGTGGTTTTGATTTAGTGTATTGCCTGAATGCCAAACTTGAGTGTTTCTAATATGGCTCTGGTGATATTGGCTGATCAGGCTACTTTTGATTAATTGCTAATTTGAGTTGATGTCTGCAAAGACGTACGCACACACACACACCCAAGAACTCATTGTTTCTGATTCAGAATACTTTGGAGCATTCTTGGACCTTTATGTGGCGTCCAAATTTGTAAAGAAACCATCATCGTCCTTACCTTAATCTCCCATTTGAATGTGGCCGGCCACATTAATTCTCTTCTTCCATCTTTTCTATTACAAACAATGTTACCTATTACATTTAATTTTTTTATAATCGTTTCTAGTTACTTCATATCTTGCTCTTTTTGGTCAGCCTCTTTGTCTCTTATCTTTTATGCAAACTAATAATTCTTTACTTACCAATACATCCGCGGGTCTACGGTGTATTTATAGAAACCAGTTAAGTCTGTTTTCTCTTGTTTTACCACAAGCAGTGATTTCAAATCCAGAGGTTAATTGTACTCTGGCAACTTTACGTAAGGCACAGAGTTTGGTTTTTTTGGGGTGATAGTGGAAAAGTTGACAGATAAGTCGCCCTTACTACCACTCTACAGAACCGTACATGAAATTTTCACCTCATACGGCTCCTCGTTCAATTCTTTCGAAGTCATTGGATACTTTTCCTCGTTCGAGAATCTCCTCCCTTCTTCCACTCCGTCTATTAAGTATCATTCCAAAACATGTTTGTTTAACCTAATGTCTTTTAGTCACTTCTATCAGCATCCTAACATTCTCATTTCAGTTACATGATTGCGTTGTTCTTGTGGCTTTTTTTGTTCAGCATTTTGCTTTAAAGAAAATAGTTGACCAAATAATTGTCCTATAAAAATTTTCTTTTAACTTATTTGATATTTGTTTCTCATAGGATTCCGCTAACATGTCTGTATTTTGTCCAATGTATTTTTATCCTATTAAGTACTTCGTCATCTATCTGCAATTCTACCCGTCCTATTATTGATCCTAAATATCTCTGTTTGGTTTGCGTATTTTGTGGAGGAGAAGAAAAGACAATTTAGGAAAGTTCTTTTTCCTTGTTTATTTGCTATGACAAGTATGGAGGGAAAAGAAGATTCAAGGGAAGAATGAAAGAAACATGTTTTAATACTATGTTATTTTGTCAAATGATGCAATATGCTTTCTTCATTTCCTTTCCTCTCAACTGAAAAGCATGTGATGAGAAAGGTTCATTCATTTGTTTACTTCCTTTTTGCCTTCCCTTTCTTTCCAAGTTTTCATGCGCGGGTACTAGGCAGATACAGAAATACAAGTGACACAAGAATGAAAGCTAATGATTTGTGACGTTTGTCACCACCAGTCTTTCCTATCCTTCTATATAACCTATGCCCGATTTAGTTGCAATCAAATTTGAATAGTTGTTGTTACTTGGGGGCGAGAGGAGGTCAATGTCAGCTTCAAATGAACTAGTGCCTGCCTATCTATAATGGTTAGAAAACACTGCAAAAAACAGTTGTAAGTTTGTATGTCCGTGCAATATTTTCTGGTTCATGCTTTTTGCTTAATTGCACATGCAAATTATTTTTCCCCAAAGAAAGAAACCAAAAAATGAACGGATTAAAAAAAAAAACCAGAAAACTTTTGATATGTCTGTTATGTAAGAAATTATTTTTCTTAGAGTTGGAAGCACCGTGTACTAGTTGAATTTAATGGTGTTTCTTTCTGTTTGTTGGGACTAAGATATAACCGATTGACTCTTTTTCCAACTGTTCTGAGAATGGACATATTTGTTTCTTGCTGTAGTAGAATCTTATAAATTGGGTATTAAACCATCACCAGACTCGATGTCTATCAAGTAAAATAATGTTGAATCGTTTTTTATGTACTTTCTAGCTTGGAACTAGTCCTTTTGCTAGTGCATGCACTCCATACTTAAAAACAATTTAATGGCATTGTGCAGGTCCCAAGGAATAATAACAAAACCCCGCCGTCTTCTTCATCTTCGAAGCAGGAAGCAAAATCAAAAGAGAAGTGTATTGTAATGTGAGAATTTCAATAGGAGGCGGGTTGGAAGTTTGTAATGTAAATGGTGCGACTTTCTTGGTCCCTTTACATCCCATATCATCAGCCTATTCAGCATATAAATGTGTTTGTAGATTGGTTTTCGGCTGTAAATAAAGTAAAATGTTACCACATTGCGAGGCCTGCAATTTATGATTTTTCTTTTTCTTTTCTCCCCCATCTAATCAGCTTTTATTGTTATTGTTATTATTATTATGGGTTGCTGTTTGATTCACTTTTAAGACCTTTCATTTGTGGACTAGGTGTGCCTACTAGTATGTGGTATCATACTATAAACCTGTCCATACATGTCACGGAGTTTACATAATTTATTCTAGCAATGACGATACTCTTTTTATTTATGACTATACCCATGTCCACACGTACTAAAAATGTCGATTCACACGAACAAATCCCCATTCTCTCCCACACAATCCAAAATGCTGAATTTTCATGCTCTTTCCGACCCATAATGTTATGTGCCCGAAGCCATAGCTGATCAATGTTTGGTGGGTTCGGCCAGCTCCAACTTCAGAAATGCTAATTCACTTTTTTCATAAAATGTTGTTTATCATTCGGTAATATATTCTAGTTTTTGTTTTGATTTTAGCCATAAATTCTAAAATCTCTATGCTTTGCGGATGACCCAAATAATTACAAGGACAACCCAACGAGTTGACCCAAATTATTAAAAGCCCAAAGTACAACAACCCAAACACTCTGGAGGGCTTGGATACCTGGGCTTCACAACTGAGTCGGAAGGCTCGGAAGCATTTTTCTTAAAATGAAATGCTTGGTAATTAATTATTAATTAATTAACTAATATTATTCTAATAGAAAAGAGTGATCCAAGGAGATGAAAAAAAAAGAAAAAGAAAAAGAAAAATATTATTAAATAATAGACAACCTCAGTCAAACCTCGGATGTTTTATTCTCTGTTCTATATTATCTATGAAGTCATATTGTTTCGGACTGATTTTTAATAAAATCATGTGGTTTATTTAATTTATTTTGAAAAATAAAATTTGATCTAAAGGGTTATTCACAAGAAAGTCACGTGACAAACTTAGATCGCTTTTAAAATTAAAATTTAATTTAATAAATAAATATATAATTTTACCTCGACAAGAAATACAATCATATACATTTCCTTCAATTTTTTAAAGTGCAAAATGAGTAAGTATCACTAACTTAGATTATTTGATAAAAAAAAAAAAAAAAAATACCATAAGATGACAACTTAACTTGTGGAACCAAACCCATTAATGCTGAACATTTGTATCGTGTTAAGACGTCGGACTTGACTGCACCGACAACTAGGCCACCATTTTGTAGTTGGTTTGTTTCCGTCTTTCTTTCCTTTACGGGTACTCATAATGATCCTAATTAATTAATTTATAGACAACTATAAAAAAAAGCTTACTGTTGAAAAAATTGGAAGCAATACGAGTTCTATTGATTATGAAGAGCACGAAGTAGTGTCTATAATTTGAATTTAAATAAGCTGCTGACTTTTAAAAACTGATTAAATATAACCATTGGATTCATTCAAGTAGTGCCTACATGAATGCATTCAACGGTCATGATCAAATTAAATTAAAATGTCTGTTATATTTCGTCACTATAAAATTTGATAATGAGATGCCCTGAAATTTTCACATTGAATTAAGGATTAGGTCTTTAATTGACTTTGATATTAACACTAACAGCTTGGGTAATTGCCTTTTAATTAAAAAACTCAAACTGTTAGATACGGTTAACTATCGATCCATATATACATTCCTTTTTTATATATCCGAACTTAACGTGGGATAAAACTCCTCTTACACCTAAATAGAAGTTGAAGGAGTTTGATTCAAGACATTTCGATTTTATTAAAATAAAATAAAGAAATTCAAAGCTGTTAAAAAATTTGATACCGCTTGTGCTAAAATGTTATTATTGTGATTTTTTGGGTGTATTCATAGTGATCAAATTTTTTTTTATTTTTTATTTTCAACCTGATCAAGATTCAATTTATTTATTAGGATACTGAATGACTACTAATGATATTTCTTTTCAAATAACTAGAGTATTTCAATTGGATAGACTACTATGTACATTGATAGATATGTATCGTATATATTTTTAATTGCAATGGACTTTTGGCTAATGTGATTAGTGCATAAATTGACTTGTGCACTTCGAGGTAGCAGGGGGAGAAGGAAAAAAAAGCAAGGAAGAAAAATGATCAGACAGAGAAAGGAAAGAGAAAGGTCAGAGACAATGTAGGGGGTGATGAAAACGACAACACCGTATCCCTCCTCTCTCTATCAATATATATATATATATATATATATATAGTTCCAAAAAAATATATAGATATAGTCCGCATCACTTTTCTCACTCAAAAAAATTATCTCTCTAGGGTTTTAGTCAGGGGACCACTCTACACCTGTCGAGATCTTAGACGGGGAATACGACAATGCTACAGCTGTGACGGTGACCCCACCACCACCTGTTTAGAAACACTGTGCAATTCCGGCTGAGCTCTGCTCGTGTCGGCTCGGCTCAGACGCTCTTCTGTCTTTTTTGACACGTATTCTTTACTTTTTACTCCGGTAGCACCAAAATTTTGTGCCCTCTTCTAATGTGCAGCAGTACATTGGTGACAGTTGCATTTTGACAGTGCTTATGGAAAGTTGGAAACCATCAACAAAAAAGCTTTCAGACTTAAACAATGTAGCATTTTAAGTTTTAATTAATCATAACATATTAAATTCTAATTTTAAGACTCTCGCAACCATAATGTAATTTAAATTCATAGAAACTCACGTCTGCGTAGTTCAATTTTCGAAGAATAATTTTATGGTTTTTAAAAATTAAAATTAAAAAATTGTAAAAAAAATATGCTTGATTGACAGTTTTTACTAGTGATTTTTTTAATAAAAAAATTCAGTTAAAAGAAAGATTTATTTTCAGATAATTATTTTTTTATAGTTATTTGAAAATAATTTTTTTATTTTTATAAAGTCCTTAAAATTTATTTTTTAGAGTCTGAAAAATCAAATTGTCTGGATTTAATACTCTCAAACATAATGTTAATTTAATTTGTGAATTTTTTTTTTTTTTGGGGCTTTCATTTAATTTGTGGAATTTGAGTAGCAGTATTTGCATGTTTGTTTGATGAAAACGGCACGTTTGACCCAAAAACAAAAAAGAAGAAGATGAGAATCAGTAGTACACTACTAGTACAAAGAGAGATGCCATCGACAATGAGTGTTTGATGTTACAACTGATCAGAAGTTACTTTAATTTAGCTTTATACATGTGTCATTTCTGTAAAATTAGTAAACCTATCATGGAGTCAACTCATGGTTATTCCAATGAGCCTACCTTCTAATTGTCCGACCTTTTTCTTTTTTTTTTTTTTATTTTTTATTTTTATTTTTTATAATGAAATGGCAAGAAAGTCACACACTTTTATATATATATATATATATATATATATATATATTATCCCTGACCGAAATTAAACCATTAATCTTCCACCTTCAAAGATTGAAGAGAAATCACTTAGATTATAATTCCATTTTTTTTTATTTTGAAGGTACACAATGACCTTATTGAATGTTTAGTATAATGTTTCAGGTCTAGTCAAATGGCATTCTGAGTTGCCAATAGAATTATTTAATCGATTAGAGCAACACGTTTCATTCCCTCATTCCCATCTTTTCACGGATGGTGAAAGACAAGATGAGTTCAGTCGTTAAGAGAAGCAGAATATCGCGAGCTGAATGCGTTGGCGTGAATTAGTGTTGCTGGTGAATTCTAAAGACCACTAGAGTCGAAGGGCACTAACTGTCAGAGGTAAATATAAGATAGGTGATTTTAATGGCACTGGAATCAAACTCTTGTGAAGAGCAAATCTGAAGGCATTGGAGCTGGTAATTTTTCTCAGTTACAGTGAATTGTTTCACCAGAGACAATTAAGTTTCCATGCATTTTTCTTGCATGTAAAATGATCTAGTGTTGGTCTCTTTACTTTTCTTCTGCTCTTAAATTGATTAAAATAATAATAAGAAAATCTAAAACTTAATCAAAAGAGTAAAATAGACTATTCACTCCCTCTACGTCTTCCTACTAAGATTAAACTTTTAGATACTTACATGATGTTACGCTCAATAAAGTATTTTTTCAAAAAGAAAAACAACCCTAGCTTTCAAATTATAAATGACCATGTTGAAACTTATATTGCATTGGTTGATTCCTTACAAGACTTTTAAGCTCATCACCACTAAATCAATCTCAAGTGGTTAGGGTCATCAACAATTGTTAATGTGCAACATTATAACCACTTGTTTTAAATAAGATATGAATTTATAACATATATAGAAGGGTGATAAATGCTTTTGAAGAATCGACGATTACAAAAGAGTGCCTAATGGAGCTTCAATTTATGTCTTGTGAGGTTTTCATTAATTCTCATGTGTTCGATTCTCCTTCGCCTAATTTAACAGAAAAAAAATTTAAAGAAAAAGAAGAAGGTAGCCATCTATATGGCAAAAATGTAATCACTATTAAAGAAGGTCCAAATCTTAATAATGGAAATGGCGACAAGTGTGTCTCAATTACTGTCTGAATATGATTTGTATAATTTTATGTAATAATATGTACGTGGATTTATTTAAAGCCGCTAAATTCTATAAACTAGTTTCAAGTCCCATTCTAACCAAACCAGACATCTTTTCGCGCGGTTCGTGGTTACAATGTAATTTTTCATAGAGATTACTCAATTGAATAGAGATTACTAATTTGAATTTTATAAAAATAGTTTTCTATTGTTATATAATTTAGAAAATTGTTTTCTATTCACACATTTAATTCAGTGACGGCTTCGTATTATCCCGCCAATAACAAATGTAACACAAATAAAAATTGTTAATATTATTTAATTTTTTATTTGCTTGACATGTTTGTTATTTGAACTTAACTATCATTGATTATCTAGAAACTTAGATGGGTGCATCAAATCATGAAAATAAAAAAACAAAAAACTTGTTGCTACCAAACACACCCTTATTGAAAGTTAGCAGATTCCTTGCATCCAAGCAACATTGCCACTTTAAAACACAAGAAACCAAAATAAAATAATTTTTCTTTCTTGTTTTTTTGCTTAAGCCCAAATCTTCTTCTTGTGAACTCCCCAACAATTGTATTCTCTGTAGTGGGGACCCACAATTGAAATTCTCCTACAAGGGGTCCACCACCTCCGAAGAACACCTACCATATTCCTTCGTTCAACTTTATTGAGTGACATGTACATTACACATCCCATTTACATTCCATGAATATGGACACGTTTGCAATAACTAACAAGAGATATATGCCTATACGTACATATATATGGTCACATTATTCTTACGAAACATTTATTCACAATTTGTTCTTTTTTCAATTCAAAAGCAAATGCAATTGATGGATGAAGATGACAATAATATGAGTGTAGGTTAAACTTTTAAAAATTAAAAAATGATTCTTTTTAAGTGACAAAATTGAAATCATGTAATTGATAAAATGTGATTTTTTTGTTTAAGATAAATTTTTAGTTTAAGATAATTTTAGATACATTTTTGAATATATTACATATATCATTTAAATCAAATATTTTTAATCGTTTTTGAAAGAAAAATTCTAAAATCTTTGATTTTATGATTCGTCCCAAAAGATTCTTTATTCATTAAATTGGTTTATGTCACAAATTTCTTGAGGTTTTGAGAAATTTTGTCAAGATGAAATTGATTGATCCAATGGTTAATATCATCCCATCAAAGCTTCGGCTGGGGGCTCAACACCTATGTTTATGCCTGCCTACCACCTTATACTAATATATACGTACACCCATAGTATATGTATTTGTGTATATATATAAAATATGTAGATATATAGTTGGTGGTGGGTCATTTGTGTCCTAACAAACGTGTAGCCAATATTTTCTTCTCCTTGTGGCTGATATCCCGAAAACGTAGAAAGGAGACTAAAACCGAAGGGCAAACAGAAGCCAAGGGGGGCAATACAGTGACAGCTCAACCCTCAGCCGACTTTCTTAAATAACAAAAAATAACACAACTTTATTAATCGAGCACCCTTTTTTTTTTTTTATTATTTTTTTTTCGATCGAAATGTCTATTTTATCACCACTTACAATGAGCCTTTGAGAAGCTTTATTGTGAAAAATTGGCAGATTGCATTACGAACCATATATATTTTATTTTGAATTGCTTGATTTGTATGAATCTCAGTAAAGAAAAAAAAATAATGTATTTCGGGTGTATTGAAATTATTAAAAAAAATATTTACTTATCATTGAATAGCGATGCGGGTACTACATTGTTGATACTTTTGGTGTACTCAATAATTTTTCCAGAGGTTTTTGATTGTTTTTCTTTTTAATTTGGGACAAAAGCTAGAATTGAAGCATTGTCATACTCTTTTATGTATAATTATACAGTGATTTGTCCATTTTTTTTACATAGTTTTGAGAAACATTCTCAGCATTTGTTTGCATGTAAAATGTTCTATGAATTTTTTTTTTTTTGAAAAAAGTAATAGTTTCTTAAAAAACTTGATTATCCTTTTATTTTTTTAAAGAATGACGGAGGGGGAGTCGAATAACGTAGTTTCCCTACCGACAAATGCATCCGAGAAAGACCTTTGTTTAACTCCTCCTTTTGATATTTTCTAGTGAAAAAAAAATATCATTACACTTTCCTTTTGTTTTAATCCATTTTGGATCATTCCCGCAAGTTATAGCTTTGTAGAGTACTCAAAGAAATGCCTTGATCATATAGCACTACATGTGTATGTATATATATACACGCACATTATCCTTTTAATACAAGTTATAAATAAAACTATGTGAGTTAAAATTTTAGATACTGTTTAAATTGACATGTCATGCATGCAAAACAAGGACACACTTTAGCTCCAACATTTTCTTGCATACCAAACATTCTAGATTTACCACGCACGGTAAATATATTTAAAATGTGCATTGTAAATCTAGAATGACATAACCACTTCAATAGTATCTAGAGAAACAATAAACATTTTCAACTATAGAACTTCCGTACCTACTCTTTACATGATTTATTACATGTGTTATAAACAAATATCATTAATAATATATATTGCAGCTCATAATCAACTAATTACAATGAATATTAACTATGTATCAAGGCAGGTGAATATGAAGTTGGTACCGTACCAATTGCCAAACTTCAAACAGTGTATGAATGCCAATAAAGGGTAGTTATTAGTCAACAATGTCTTCATTAAATGAAAGTGGTGCCCCATTTATAAAACCATATGTAGTGCCCAAATCAGATACATCAATTAATCAGTTTACAAGAATTGATTAATCACCTTATTCTTATAACTCAAGATTATCAGCATACCTAATCCAACCCATTAATCTAATCTTGGTTGCGATGTTAAGGTTGGACATTTCCATCACTATCAAAAAAAAAATATATAAAAAAAATAAAAAAAAAGTGTTCAAAATGTCAGGCCACTGATGCAGCTTTATCTGTGACCTCTTTATCTGACCTCTCTTCCTCCTCCTCTCATAGTAATGATTCTATAACCCCTCTCTCTCTCTCTCTCTCTCTCTCTCTCTCTAAGGATCCATAAAGAAACAAAATTTCAAAGTAAGCCTGCATAGTGGCATCTCTTTTTTCCTCTGTATATGTAAAAATCTGTAATCATACAGAAGGGGTGCAGAAAGTCTTGTGTCTCAGATCCCAATATAGAGGGTCTCTCTTACACCAATAACAAGAAAACTGTTTTTCTTTTTTCTTTCTCATTTCTCTATTCTCTCTTTCCATCTCTATTCACAACCAGAGAGTATCACAACAGTACTCCTATTCCTCTATATAAGAGAGTACTCTTTTGTAGTCTCAAACTCAACCCCACTTTTCCTTTTGCTTTCTTGAAAAATCCTTTTGTTCACACATGATCTCTTCTACTATATACCCTTTAGTTTGATTGATTCATTTATATATATATATATCTCATAGTGTTCTAGTGTTTAGAAAGAAAGAAAAAAAAAAAAATGCAAGAGCAAGGTTTCAGCATGATGGGTGGTGGTGGTGGGATTGGTGGTTTAACCGATGTTTCGATGGCGGTTTCCGGTGAGCAGCACCGGCAGCTCAAGGGGGAGATCGCCACCCACCCTCTCTATGAGCAGCTTCTCGCCGCCCACGTCGCGTGTCTCCGCGTCGCAACGCCGATTGATCAGTTGCCTCTTATTGAGGCGCAGGTCACACAGTCTCACCATCTTCTTAGGTCTTATGCCTCCCAACAGCACCACAATAGCCACACTCTCTCTCCTCACGAGAGGCAAGAGCTTGACAATTTCTTGGTAGGTTGATTTCACAGAAACCCGTAAATTTTCTCGCCTTTTTTAATCTTCAATTTGCTGGTTATTAGTTGGTTTATTTATTTATTATTTTATTATTTATATTTCTATATGTTGTTTACACAGGCACAGTATTTGTTAGTTTTGTGCTCCTTCAAAGAGCAGCTTCAGCAACATGTCAGAGTCCATGCTGTTGAAGCTGTCATGGCCTGCCGTGAAATTGAACAGAATTTACAAGCTTTGACCGGTACTTTTCTCTCTCTGTATATCCATAAATATCTATATATGTACACATAAATTAAAATATACATGCCACATATATATACAGATAGTATATGGTGTATACTTTGTATGATCTGCATATTGTCTGATCATTAGCTGGTTTTGGAAGTGATTGTGCAATCAACAGAAATACTTTTATGTCCTTTTGTTATGGGTTGCAGTTTTTAATTTTCTTTTCCTCATTGTTTTGATTTTTTATGCTTTTGGTAGGCACAACATAAGAAAATCAAATTGGGGTTCTTGTAAGTTTGTGTTAACGTGTGTACAATAGGTGGGTGTAGTGGGACCTACCAAGAAATTGTTGCAGTTGTTTATAGTTGGGAGGGGTTGGTTAGTTGGGTGATGGAGGGAACAAAGAGTGAGAACAATGCCAACACCACCAACCGATAAGGTTAATGCATTCGAATATTTGGTTTCTAGAATACTTTTATTCTGATTGATTACTTTGGGGTTTATAGATTAGAGGGTGTATGATCTGTGTTTGGCACTTGCTTCATGATTAGAGTTTGGTCAAACAGTAACGTTCAATTTACAGATATACATATATAATATGGTTGTATAACTAACCATGAGATTGTAACTGATTATCTATTATGATTGTTGAAAATGTGTAACATGAGTTTAAAATAAAAGTACTAACCATTGTGCAAAATGAAAACAAAGAGATGATAATTAATGCAGTTTCCATCTTAATTGTGTGTGACTTTAGGGTTAATGTGCTTAAAGCCATGCCTGTATTTTGGTACAAAAGCAACATTGCCCTACACAATAGGGAGTGGTTCCCATCTGTTAACCATAAAGTTCTTAATATTGATGAATGTGGATTCATAGCTAGCAAGTCTTTAATTGGCATGGCCATCAAGAGTTGTTGTGTGGTGGAAATGGTTAATTGAAAATTTGGAAATTGGCAATTATAAGATCTCATGTGTTTTACCTATTTATAAGGAATTTCTTTTGATCTTCTTTAACACATTTTTTCTCTGATAAATTTTTTTTTTGAGCACATAGTCATGCAGAACTTTCCAAATATTAAAATTTGACGAAATTCAGTTTTTACTTGCAATTTAACATTCCCATTTCGCACCGTTGTATTTCATGAACGGATTTTGGAGTGTGAAATGTGAATCCTGATCAAAGGAATTAAAAGAGAAGTTCCACAGGAGTAGGAAATAAAAAAAATTTATAATGTAAATTAATGAGCATTCTTATTGATCAGCATCTATATATATACTTCAGTTTGAGGTATTACTGCTGGTTTTACATCATTATGTGAATAGTGTGACTTGGAGAAGAAAGGAGAGTTAATTAATGTGCTAGTACTGGTTAGTGGTTAGGGACACCCAACCTCTGGGACCATTGAACAATCTATTATGAATTTGAACAACTGAATAATATGAAGGATTTAGTTGAATGAGGTGGAAATTTGCTTCTGAAGTCTATCTGCAATTTGATTATTTGAACAAGCACAATTGTCACCTACCTATTGATGTTTCAATCTCTGAAAATGATAGTCTATTATAATTGTTTTCTTCTCCTAAGCACCCTTAAATATTGACCTTTTTGGTAGTGATGGACAATCATTGCGGTATGATAAGTTTATTTTTTATTTTTATTTTTATTTAAAATTTTTTTCCCAGTAAGTTGCAGTATGATAAGTTTGTTTGTTACATTTTAAATTTCTTTTAAGAATGAGAATGATATAAGCATGGATATATATGAATCTTGGTTATTTCAGAATTGGTTTGCTGTGATTTGGAAATTGAAAAAGATTTCATTTGATCATGAGTAGGCTTCATGATGAGACTAGGTCAATTTTTAAGCATAACTTGCTTCTTTTTTGGCATACATGGTCAAGGAAGTAAAGAAGAGATCACCTAGAACATGTCAAAACGTAGAATTTTATGAAAGAATAATCTGCCATTGTCCGATCGTATGCTAATGTTACCAGCTCATGTTATAATAAATATGAACAGATCGGGCTTTGATACATCAACCGACAGTCAACTATTCACATCATAAGTTGGGTTTATTAGATTCACCACATGCTGTAAGTTAGTGGGACCCACTTCAATGCTGTGGGGAGTAGTTAGTAACTTAGTTGTCTATTGTCATGTGTCTTGAATTTTTCACATAAATAATTTTTTGTGATATTGTAATGATGACCAAATATGTTTGTGTGCGCGCGCGTATAAAATATGACAAACACAATAATTTTTTTATTTTTATTTTTATTTATTTTTATTTTTTTTATTTCATTCTGAACCTATTATTTTTTATTAACTCTTTCTGCGTTAATTTTTTACCATTGTTTCTCTTAATACTAATTTCGAGGTCGACAATGTCCCTTTTCTTAACTCTGAATCTCACTTAATGGTCTTTTTCTCATTGTATTGCCAATTGTTCAATGTTTTTTCTTAGCCGTCAAACATTATGTACAATGAAAAAAGACTAATCTAATAATTGTTTTAAAGAATTTTACTTTTACTTTTAATTTTAATGGAAACGATCACACAATGTGCTAGATGCACTCTTATATTTAATCCTTCCAACCTTGTAAGTATGATTATATCGTCTTCAATTTTCCTTCATTATGGATATTTCTCCTTCTTTAAGCACTCCTCCAGTTTTGTACCTCTGTGGGCTAACCTGGGCAATAGCCCAGGTTCAAAAAATAAAAAATAAAAATTAGTACTAATATTTGTTATTAGCTATAGTCCAGTCCAGCCCAAGCTACTTAATCCATAATAAAACATAAATGATAAATGGTTCAGCTCAGAAAACAAGCCTACAAATAAATTAGAACTAGAAGATTGAAGAAGACTTAGGAATTGTTTGGCATGATGTGGTATTATTTTTGATGTTTTCATCTTCTCTACTTAAATTTTTTCTTTAACCCCCTATTTTCAAATCCTGACTCCGTCCCTGCCTAGTAATCCTCGATCTTTACTACATTCTTATTTGTATTTCTAAATTTATTAAAATTACATCCTATATGTTCATTTTTATTTTCACTCATCTTAGCTTCCTAATTCCAAACTTCCAATTTAGCACCAATTTCTTCTCTAATTTTATCAATAAAAAATATATAAAATCAACAAATAACATACATCATAAAATGTTGTTCTGCATGTACGGTGCGTTGGAAGGGAGGGCACTATATATATATATTTTTTACAATATTTTCGTACTATTTGCAAATAAAAAAGGAAAATTTAACAGCATAATTCATATACAGCTTTCTCTATTATCTCTTGTGTGTGCCTCCTCTCCACATCTAGATTGCTTACATTATGATGAAAGGGAATGGTTATCATACAATTTTCAATGATTGGTCACTATGTTAAATGCACATGTTCTTAATTTCACAAGTTTATTTATTTCTTTATTTATTTTTTGTAATAATTGATACATTGTGTTAGCTAATTTTACTAGTTTCCTTTGATATCTTCCCCAGATTACATATTTTTCACATGTTTGCGTGTGACATCCTCTGTAATCCATGTGTTTACTTAGTACCCACATCAAGTTTTTCTTGGTCAGTAATAAAGCATTCGAATTGAAGGTTCTTTAACCACAGGTTTCATTGATTCCATGCTCATGATCTCCACGGGCCCAATCATCCTGATTTATGGGCAAGAATCGATGTGGTATGTGGTCCTAGGATCATTGAGGTCCACCATTAGAATTATCGCATTTGGCATAGAAGCTTTAGACGTTAAGGAGATCATATTAGCATTCCAAAAACATGTCTCTCACATTTCACTTCCTTTGATATTTAGATTCAAGGAGTGGAGTGTGAGAAGCCTTTTTTTTCTTTTCTTTTCCCGACACTTCCTTAGATGTTATGCCAAATGTCTCTTAAGGAAATATGAGAAATTATTATATTGTCTCGGGCTAATCACGAAGCGACACATAAATAAATGCGTCTAACTTTATGTCATTTTTAATTAACTTTTTGCATATGTACTGCTTTGTAAATTACCAATGGTCCCGGGACCACGTAATAATTTCTATAGGAGATTTATGTTAAAGGCATAAATATATATATATATATATCTCTCTGTCTCTCTCTCTTAGAGCTTCTAGATATAATTGGTTGATAATACCGGTGCAAAGAAGTCTTTCTCATTGATTTCTGCTCAACTTGGAATAAGCTAAGTCGGCCTAAATAACACGGTTGCTTTGAAACTTGGCAGTCCTTTAGTGGAATGGTCCATTTCATGGCATTTACAGCAGTGGTTATGCCATTAAAATCTTGCTCCCAACTCTATTTGCTATATGGAAGCAATTGAAAGGATGACTATCATAATCCCAGAAGGTGGGCTTGAGGATTGCTCTTGAATAATTACTTTCATATGGATTTAATCGGTTCAAATTCATGTAGTCATTCATACTTTTAGGGTGAATTATGAATGTTTTGAAAGCTTGCAATTTTTATAGTGAATCAGGAATGTTTTGCACTTGATGGGGTGGCCTTATCAAGTAAATCCTCAGCTGTAGGCTCAATTCTCTTTTTTCTTCCTTTCCATCTTTATGTGTTATTTTAACAAATCTGTCGTCGTTAAGTTTGTTAATTCCATGTCTAAGAAATCTGTTTAGTTAGAACTCATGTTTGTTGCAATTTGTAATAATTTATTAATAGGTTTTCTATGTATGGTTTTATTTTGATGAATCAACTCTTGAAAGAAGCATTACAAGTTCTGAATAGGCCAATTTCATATAATACCCATAACTTGTTTTCGATGATATAAACTAACAACATATCATCCACATTGTTTACTTCATTGAAAATGAAATATAAAATCAGATTGAGTAAAAGAGTTGGTCACACCACCCCTGAATTTCTGACAAACACTGAAGCTGGCTTACTGAGGCTTTCACAAAACTATTTATATGTTTTCTTTCAGGAGTGACTCTTAGTGAAGGAACAGGTGCGACTATGTCAGATGATGAGGATGAGCTGCAGATGGATTTCTCTTTGGATCAATCAGGCGGTGGGAATGACATGATGGGATTTGGTCCACTGCTTCCAACAGAATCTGAAAGGTCTCTCATGGAGAGAGTTCGGCAAGAATTGAAGATTGAGCTCAAGCAGGTGGTCTTCTGCTATTGTTGTAAATACAACAGCTTAGCTTTCATGACAAGTAAATTATAAAATCTCCAATAAAAATACAGTACTTCCCAAAATGCTAACTGATGCCAAAAAGTTCAAAATCTATAAACTTATTTGATCAGTATGCAAGTGTAAAGAATAATATGCTTTTTTCTTTTCCTTTTTTTTTTTTTTTTTTTTTTTTTTTTTTTTTTTTTTTGCAGGGATTTAAGTCAAGAATTGAGGATGTCAGGGAGGAAATTTTAAGAAAAAGAAGGGCTGGAAAATTACCCGGTGACACAACTTCAGTACTGAAGAATTGGTGGCAGCAACACTCAAAGTGGCCATATCCAACTGTAAGCAACTAACTTGATCAATTTATCTATAATTATGAACAATCCCAATGTTTAGATCCTTGGGATTGTCTGATTTTTGAGAACTGTTTTGGATTGATCGACTTGTTAATTTTCTTGTCATATACATCATGATTCATGATGTTGCCAAGGTCTAGACCAAAACATATAAAACTAGGAACATGTAGCTAGTATTAATGGAATAGGAACTAGGAATACTTCTCGGAATGCATAACAAAAAAATAGTTGCTTTAAGGACAAATGGAAGTCTGTATTACAGTATGCTTGATAAATATGCTTTGTTTCATCTGAGACAGCCCTTGATTACCTACAACTTCTGGTTGAAGTTCTGAATTTCGGTTCAGCAGCAATTTGTGGCCTAAAACTCCTCAAAACTAAATGGAATAACCCAAGATATTGGTATCCTTTTAAATTTAATTAAAATACTGTAAAACACACATAAATGACACTTCCTACTAAGGAGAGAGTTCCAAATTTTTACACTCACACACACACAAAAAAAAAAAAAAAATTTCAAAATCCAGGATCATAATTGTCCACTAGGGTAACATGTCATTGCATCAAATGACAAGGAAGTATGATTCAGAGTTCTCAATTCAGAAATTGCTTCAATAACTATAGTGTCATATGAAGAAGTGTGTAAAATGTGTGTACTGTTAGAAGATCTTCCTGCTTCAGACCTGGAATCTTCACATACTTGGGTTAGTCCCAAACTAAAATTCTCTGTTGGGATTTTATTAGTCAACTCTTGATGAAGCAAATATTTGGTCTAGGATGGGGTGTTGAGTCGGATTATAACCAAAACCTTCCCTAAGCAATTCCTCCTATCAAGTAACAAGGAAAAGTTGGATGTAAGACTTACAATCATCCTGACCATCAAAATTAATTCCTACAATGCCTATCGAACCATAATATCTGAATCAGAGTCAGTTTATCACCTCAACACTAGCTTAATGAGCTAGAGTTCAATAATAAGAGTGTTACTGCATGAAACTTTCAGGAAGACGACAAGGCAAAACTTGTGGAGGAGACAGGGTTGCAGCTAAAGCAAATCAACAATTGGTTCATCAACCAAAGGAAGCGAAACTGGCACAGCAACTCACAATCTGCGACTGCTCTGAAGTCCAAGCGCAAAAGGTAGAGATCTAACGCGTTTCAAGTTTCAACTGAAGAACAGCAATCAAGTAACATACATTATGTCATATAGCTTTTATATAACCTTCAAGGCAGAGTTGTAACCAACAATTGTGAAGACAGTGGAAAATTGGCAGTTTAGACAAGTGACACAAGTTTCAGTTCAGATGCACAATGTGTAATATATGGTGTTAGAATGCATACACTTAAAAGTTGTAAATTTCTATTTCCACAGAAGCAATAACTTTCTAACGGATCCTTTTTTTCCTCTGGCATGCCTCTGTGTAACAATTAATCCCACCATTGAAATTGACCTATGTAAAGCAAGTTAATGGCCATTTACAGGACAGAAGGTCTATTTGAAAGCCTGAATATATATATGCTTGACTAATATAAGGTTTGAATGTGAATTCTTATATATGTTCCAAGAGATTTTGATATATATTGGCAGATGGCTGTTGTTTGGACATGTTCTATTATTAAGTTCAATAAGCAAATACAAAATCTATGACATTATTTTCTTGGACCAATTATCATCAGCTACTGTATGGCTAGGGGACTATTAAGACCTGTTCTATTGCTTTACATGTCATGATGAGTTTTGGAAGTGAAAGTAATTTGGTGATGTCAATTTCTACTGATTGAATGTTCAGCAGATGAGCAAGTTGTTCAAGAATAAATATGAGTTTTTTAACTGGCAACTAATTAAGAAATGTCCAAATGAAATAAAAACAGAATGAATGGAAAGTGGAGAGGGATCAAATCACATGTCATGCATCATAATCATATCACACCATGTTGTCAAAGAGGTTGAAATTTCATATACATCCCATTTGACATGGACAACCTTAAAATTTGTCTGCCATTCCTGTCTATCAAGAATCCATGTCTTCATGCAAAGCACTAAAGAAAACTTTGTACCATACATTACTGATGACACTTTTTGAACATTCAGCAATCAAAAATTATTAAATGGTCTTGGTCCATTTGATATGCAGTGGACTAATTTAATGGAAGCTCATGTTAGGATTTCTTTGTAATATATTAATACACTCTAACCATCTAATAATCCTCAGCAACATATAATATCCATACTATAAACCACCTTGTATTGATCAGTTGGACCTACCATGTAAGTACTTCTATGCAATTTTGTAAAAATGGTTGCTATAAAATTAATATGTAAGCCAAAGGGAGCTACGTAGGCTCTAACTTTTCTCCATATGAACAAACATTTTCATTTCCATAACAAACTATGCAGAGTATCTCTGTAGGGTACAAAATTTAAATATTTTGTAATTTTGTTCATCGGTCGTGTTACAAACATGCACCAAGCTGTTGATTGGCCGCCAATAATAGCCAAGGCAGCTCAATCCTTAGGCGACTCAGGCAGTCTACTAAGACCCCTTTTAGAAGAGGACCCCCTTCTTCTTCTTCTAAATATAATGTAATAATAATATATTGAACTAATCAAATTAGTAATAGAAAGAGAGTTTTTACTGCTGGTATAATGCATTTTTTTTCTGTTCAAGTAAGATTCTTCCAATCTAGTAATTAGAATTATGAATCTATCTAACTTATTTAATTTGAAAAATATAAAATTTTGAATTCTACTTTATTTTGAATATGAAAAAAGAAATACTAGTACACTACAATCACCAAAAACATGAAGATGCGATTACCCGTATCCAAAAAATAATTTTTTGATGATGTGTTCTGGGTGTGGTTTATGTGATTTGGGTTAGTTTAATTGTTTATATTTTTTTGTGGAATCCTCAAGAATGTCAAAAATAAAAACTAAAAAAAATAATAGTAGTGTAATAAGATACAATGTCCCAGTGGTCGATGGGTTCTAGCTCGTATGAGTGTGATGTATGATTTGTGTTAGTTTAATTGTTTGCCTGTTGTGCATTAGTGTCTATAATTATTTTTTAGTTTAGTGGTGTTTTGCTGGGCGGATGTGGAAGCTATTATGTGTAGTTTTATGCAAATATGTGAAAGGAGTGAAGAAAATGGTGCAACAAGAGTGTATATTGATAACACCTTACACGAGTTTTGTGGATTAGTCGGGTAAAATTTCGGACGCTTAACTTGAATAAGATCGCTTTAAAGTTAAAAGAATGATGTAGGTAAAAATGGAAATTGTGTTGGAGACCGTCTTAGGTCTCCTATAATGCTCACTTATTTTCATAAAAAAGAAAAAAAAAAATATATATCGTGCATGAGAACAGGACAGCATTAATGCTTTATCTACAGGATAAACAATTTTTAGATTAAAAATTAAAAAATAGAAGTAAAAGTTGCACTTAGGAGAAGATCCTAGAATGTAAAATAATTAATGTAAAAGCCAAAGGAGATCAAGCTAGAAGAAAGAAAAGCCAATTAAGTCCTCTCTCTAGCGATTCTAAAGACAGAAAGTTGAGAAACCAAAAGTTAGGAAAAGCACTAAAATCCTATATAGATGATCTAACCATACCAATTTTGCGTTCATACTTTTCGTTAATGATAAACACGTTTGATCTTTGGACATGGGTAAGTCTGAGGGTGCATGGTAATGCAGTAATGTATTTATACTCTACTTTGGCATAAACCCTTTTCTGTAAATATCTCGTTAGGATTAGGCTATGCCACATATTCAAAATCATAAGTCATAAGCAGAGGTGGAAATGGATAAAACTCAATTAGGTTACAAAATGACTAGGTTCAGATTATCAAACCAAATGAGAAAAAAAAACATTGTGAGCTATCACGAAAGTTGGGAGATTAAGGTTTAATTCAGTTAATGTAAGGTTCTGACTATTGACCAAGCAAAAATTCATGTCATCCTATGTAACGACCCTAACTGATGCCAAAATTTTAAAAAAAATTCGACATGACCTCCGCTAAAAATCGTCCTACAACAATCTGTTTACAAGCATTTTTAACCTGTCCCAACACAATAAACATCTAATACATTCCATAATGGTACAACCACATACTAAATCATCCAAGTATTATAATTACAGTCCCAAAATACAAGATTAAGATCAAATGTCTATGCTTTACAAGCCCATATGTATAATTATAATATTCAAAGTCCATAAGTCATCGTACAAATTACATTATGCTTAGTCTTACAAAAATAGAGTGACCCAAGTACAAAAACAACAAAGTAAGCTCCTAATCTATACTAAGTCTGTGGTAGAATGTCATCCGCCACTTCTTTCCCGTTTCCTGTAAAAAATGTTAAATAAAAGGGGTGAGCAAAATTGCTTAGTAGGTGGTGCCTAAGACACACCTCTTGTGTTCCCGTGAATCCAAACAAGGAATAGGACAATAGGAATTTGGGGTCATGCAAAGCCGGGAAAACATAATATCAATTCTAAGTTCAAAGCAAATAAATTTCGTGCCATGAATGCAATGTTATGCATGTCACTCCTCATTTTCAGAAAAACATCATCACTTCACAAACTGTTAATATAACCCACCCTTTGGTGACTCCGCAACGACACGAGAGAATGATTGGCTACTGTCCCTGACCTTTGGTACCTCCGCAGCGTCATTTGGGGCCCAGATAGCTCAACCACGCTAGGGCAATGTCCCTAGTTCCCTCTAGGTTATATTAACACACCTGCCCTTTGGTGATTCCGCGGCGACCTGGTTTTTCTCAAAAACCGTTTCATCAAATTCTCCTCAAAATCCCTTTTTCATCTTTTTCAAATCATTTCACCCTTTTCATACCTCATGCTTTGAATGCATGTTACATGCCTTTTTAATACCATAAAAATTTGGGGAAAATTAATGTTACCCAACTAGCATGCTTCCTCATAACAATTTTTAACAATTTAATGAACACAACAAGCATAGAAGATCAACAATTAGGCATACTTTCCATGTAAAACAACAAATACACATAATAGCATGCTTCACATACATAATTAAAATCATTTAAGAGATTATCAGTTCAAATCTAGCATGATTGACAACAATTAAAGTAGGGAAACTCACAAAGGAACAAGAATTTGAGTATTAGAGACCCCTACCTCTAAAGCAATGAAAAACCCCAAATTGATGCCCTAGATTTCGAAAATTAAGGAGTGCACCAAATTAGAAATTGCTCCTATCAACTTGTAGGCCTCGCCGTGAGCTTCAATTTGCCACAAATGGCACTTCAAAATACCAAGAGATGAAGAATTAATCAAGCTTAATTGTGTAGAAAAAAAAAAGAAAAGTAAAGAAAAGCAAGCGGCAGAGAGGGAGCAAGCCGAGAGAGAAGAAAAAAAGAAAAACAGTGGGTCTGTCATGACCCTTTACCCATCTTATGGACTTAAAATTGGAGTGGGTCCCACCCATTTTTTTTTTCTTTTCTTTTTTCTTTTTCTTTTGCTTTTAAATTACACCTCACACACAAATATAAATATGAAAAACTTAAACATTACATTCTCTCCAACTTAAAAAGATTTCGTCCTCGAAATTAAGACATACCTGAGGAAGAAAATAACGCTAGGTACTTGGAGTAAACCTCCTGTTCGAGTTCCCAAGTAGCCTCCTCGACTCTGTGGTGTCTCCAAAGAACTTTCACCATTGGTATCATCTTATTCCTCAACACCTTCTGCTGTGTGCCAAGGATTCGAACTGGTCCCTTCTCGTAGGAAACATCCTCATTAATGTTTACATTAACCTAACTCAAAATGTGAGATGGATCTGGCTCGTACTTCCGTAGCATTGATACATGAAAGACATTGTGAACCCTGTCCAATTGTGGTGGCAAAGCAAGTCTGTAGGCAACCTTTCCTACTCGGTCCAAAATCTCAAATGGTCTAATGAATCGTGGTGACAACTTGCCACTTTTCCCAAATCTCATCAATCCTTTCAGTGGAGAAACCCGTAGAAAAACGTGGTCTCCCACTTCAAAGGATAACGGCCGTCTCCGCTTATCTGCATAACTCTTCTGTCGGCTCTGAGCTGTAAGCAACCTCTGTCTGATCAACTTAATCTTCTCTGTAGTCTCGAGTATTATGTCGGGTCCTAAGGCGGCGGTCTCACCCACCTCAGTCCAATAAACAAGAGACCTACAAGGTCTACCATATAACGCCTCAAATGGAGCCATCTGGATACTCGCCTAATAACTGTTGTTATAAGCAAACTCAATAAGCGGTAGATGATCTTCCCAACTACCACCTAAGTCAAGCACACATGCCCGAAGCATATCCTCCAAGATCTGGATAGTACGCTCTGACTGGCCGTCTGTCTGTGGATGGAATACCGTACTAAGATGCAACGCTGAACCAAACGC